GGGGGGGGGGGGGGGGGGGGGGGGGGGGGGGGGGGGGGTCTCTCCCACAGCCTGGCCAGCTGCAGCAGGATGCAGGACGGGAAGCTCTCATCTCAACTCCAAGCCCCAACTCAAAGGGGAGAAAAACCGAACCTAAAAGCGGACACAGGGACATCTTGGGCTACCTAGGTACTTCATCAGCCAAAAAGAGCTAAACAGCGAAGCGTACACACACAGGACAGCGCTGGTGGGTGGAGAATGAAGACTGCCAAAGCTGGGTTCCTCCTTCCCTTCTGGCTGCCCCCAGTGCCGGCGCTCGCAGCTCCGTGCTGCCTCATCCTCACTGCATGGCCGAGCGCGAGGCGTAGAACTCAGGGACCGGCAGCCCCGTGTGCAGCGTCACCTGCAAGGAGACAGGGTGAGGGTGAAGGATGCTGGGGGTGATGCTCACTGCTTGGGGCGGTCCCCAAGGTGAGGGGCTGCGTCCTGAGCGCACACACGTGTGTGCAGAGCTGCTGTGCGGGGTAATTCTGCTCCCCCTCCCCCCCAAATGCTTTGATTTGGAAGGAAAGCACAATTCCTTATTGAGAAGGCATTTTCCCCTTCAGATACAGATTTATAGAAAACTTTGTCTGTGATACAATTATCTCCATCCTGATTGGAGTTGTTGTAATTACTCATGTGCCTCTGAAAGAGGATAATGAAGAGTTTGGGTTTATTAGCAGCCTTTAATCAGCATTCAAGGCTGGATGTGGCTCTGGGCAGACTGGTCTGCTGCTTGGCGACCCTGCACATAGCAGGGGGTTGAAACCAGATGATCATTGTGGTCCTTTGCAACCCAGGCCATTCTATGATTCTGTGGCTCTATGATCCCCTGGGATGTCCTTAATGCTGAAGGATTTCAAACTCTCCCTTGCACACTGAGCTGCCAGAAACCAGAAGGGCTCTAGAAACGTGCCTGTCTCTTAGGGCAGTGTGAAGGAGTGTGGTAAGAACTAAACCCACTGTGGAGAAGGACATTTGTACCACACCAATAAGCATCCCCTAAAAGCAGTGCAGACAGATGGGCTTGTGCAGTGCTGGAGGAGCAAGCAGTGACCACAGGGATGTGCCACAGCCACGCTGGGGGAACGTGGAGACTCACTGGGGTCGATGAGAACAAGGATCAGATTGGTGAGAAGGGGAAATGAAAGATGAAAATACCAGAGAGGCCCAGGAAGCCACCAATTGGTGATGTTCAGGATAGCAGAGAGCTTGGGAGAGAGGGAGAAAAGAGGGGTTTGAAACTCTCCAGAGGAAAAGAGGCTTTAAGAGATGCCCTTTTCCCTGGTAATGCTCCCGTTTAGGACCTGGAGAGATGGAGGAGCTGGTGAGGCTCCTGCAGGGAGCACTTACCTGCACGTTCCTGTTGAGGCTGACTGCTGGGAAGAACAGGCCCTCCAAGTTCTCAAAGGCGACAGGGCCCTGCTGGTCCTCGTTGATGGAGAACGTCAAGGTCCTCCTGGTCAAATCCAGCAGCACTCCCACCGTGGCACCTTTTGTTATCCCTCCCTCAGTCCTGTGGGAGCAAAGAGAAAGTCACAGCATCCCCGTGGCATCGTGTCCCTCGTGCTCCAGGCACAGGGATAAATGAATCACAGAGCAGTCGGGCTGGAAGGGGTCTTAAAACCCACCCGGTTCCAAACCCCTGTCATAGAATCACAGCGTGGTTGGGTTGGAAGGGACCTTAAAGCCCATCCAGTTCCAACCAGTGGCTCAGGACACCCAGGCCCCCATCCATGGCCTTGGGCACCTCCAGGGACGGGGCACCCACAGCTGTGAGCAGTGCCAGAGCCACAGTGCCCTCATGAAGAATTTCCTCCTGCCATCTGACCTAAATCTCCCTTCTTTTATTTTGAGACTGTTCCCCCTTGTGCTATCTACCAGTTTAAACGCAACCAGTGCTTTCTTGCAGCAGGAACCACAAGGCTTTGGGTACTAATGGAAGAGCCAGGGTAGGGAAGAAGGGGCTGTAGCAATGAGCCAATGCAGCAAGGGCTGTTTTCTGCTTTGGGCAAAGGCACACATCCTCCAATAAAGCTGACCAGGAGCCAATTCAGCCCTCCTGCAGGCGGACAAGCCGTGGTCTTGCAATGGAGCAGTGCCCAGGTGTGCATACCTGTTGGTGTGAGAGTTGTTGTGCATGAACCAGCTGCGGTTGTTATCCACATACATGGCCCAAGCTTTGTCATCCTTGCCCAGCATGGCATCCTTCAGGACGTCGATGCGTGCCACCCCAAAGGCCGGGTCCGGGTGGTTATCGTAACGATCGATGGACAACTCCCAGTAGTGCAGCCCTTTGGAAAAGCCCGTTTTCCCCAGCACAACCCTGTCATCATAGCTGTTGCAGGTGACAGTCAGGTTGTCGTTAGAAAAGATGATGTCAGCGTGTGCAGAGGCAGGATCGAAAGAAAACCAAGCTACTGGAATAAATGAAGAGCGAAGGGTTAGGCCAATGGGAACCTCACCTCCCATACTGAGCCATGGGGACTGGACAGAGACAGTGCATGCTCCATGCAGGGCTGACAGGGCTGTTGGAATGTAGGGTGGGTTGGGGCTTTTTGGCTGGGACCAAATGAGCTGAGCTCTGTTCTGCTGCTCCTCGGATCCCTGCCTGTCTGCAGCTCAGCCTGGAGCCCACAGGATTATGACCATCTCCTAAAGCCTGGCACTAGCAGAACAACACGTGCCATCCTGGCCAGCTGCTGGCTAACACAGGGGGTGATGCTCACTCTTCTGTGCAGGGTCAGGCTTGGGGTGGGATGGCTAATCTGAGGATGAGGAGGTAAACCACATGTGTGCCTTGGAAAGCTGGCAGCTCTGGCAACCCAAAGCACGTCCAAAGGTTTGCATTTATGGGTGCTGCTCCACATCCCTACAGAGCAACCAGCCATGCAGGAGACAAGAGCTAGCCCATGGGAATGCTGAAAGATGCCCCCAAAAAAACCTCCACGCCTGGTTATAAGCACAGACCTGGTCACTGGCAGTCTGATAGATACAGCAATGCTCAACCAAACAGAGGCGCAGGGTTGCACAAACCACCACCCTGCTTTCACAGCTGGTTTTTCTCCAGCGCTCACTGAACTGTGGGTTTAACACATCCACAAACACTCCCCCACCCGAAGGAGGAAAACACAGCTTTAAAGATGGAACGCCCTGGTGAGATTTATTCCTCTGCCCATTGGATGGTGTGACAGGACAGCTCGCATGCACACGGGTGCCCCACTGCTGCAGCCCGACAGAAGCGATTCCGTACCTGCCACCATTTTTTTTATGTCAACTGTGGTCATTCCCAAGGAGAGGCATGCAGGAAAGAAAACAGCACGTAAAGTTGGCATTCGGTCAAAGAAGGAACCAGAAACAATTTCTGCTTGCCTGCTTCTCTGGCTTTCAGCATTGTGAGTACACTGAAATGCAGGGAGGGAATGTGGGGTGTGGGTTGGAGGGCATGGAGAGTGCTCCAGGGACTCCTTCCCCCAACCCATCCCATTAGGATGGGCCCTTCAGAGGACTCCTTCCCCCATCCCATTAGGATGGGCCCTTCAGAAGCCTCTTTCCCCCATCCCATCCCATTAGGAGGAGCCTTCAGAGGACTCCTTCCCTATCCCATCCCATTAGGATGGGACCTGCGGGTGACTTTGTCCTCCATCCCATCCAATCCCATTAAGATGGGCCCTCCAGAGGACTCCTTCCCCCATCCCATGCCATTAGGATGGCTTTGCAGGCTGTGAGTGCCACTTCTCCTGGAGAAGGCGGTGTGAGCCTGATGGATGCATGTCTACCCCAGCACTGCAATTAGCTGCAGGAGGGCTAATCATCTACTTGGGGTCTGGCACATGCTCAAATATCCTGAATGAACAGGAATGCCTTGGGCAGAAGGCTGGGTTTTTAATCAGAGGCCATTGGCACAGTACTGACTTCAGGTTTCTTTTCACAGGGGGAAAACTTAAAATGCCTTTACAGCATATGGTCATGACCTTCAAATTTGCCTACTGCTGTCTGGGAACGCCCTGCAAGGAGGGTGTGCACGAGAAATGCTGCTCACCCACCCAAGTTAACAATCAAACAAAAAAGATGACCAACATGGAATAGGTGCTGGTTAATTGTAAGAGAGATACTTGCCTAATTGAGAGTAAGGCGTTCCTTGTGTCTCAAAATTGCATCCTATAAAGAGATACTGCATTTCACACATCACAGCTAAGAAAGAACAACTGGTCTCCTGAAAAGCACTCCTGAGGAGTTAGCCCTTAATGGAGCGGCCATGGGAGGCCTGATTCATTGAAAGCCAGAGAGCATGGAGAGGGTTCCCAGCACAACCTGGGAGCATGGGTGACAACGGGGATCTCTGGGGTGGTTCCTGCCCTCAGAGCCCCAAAAGCTGCAGCCTTCCTGCTTGCTGCAAGTACCCCCTGAGTGCTGCCGTGCAGCCAGGCCAGACCCGTGGGGTTCTCCCCACCTGCAGGGGTTGTTTTGCATTACAGCGATGCAGTTCTGCAATGCAGAGCAGTGGGGACCACAGCCCCGCTCCGCCCCGTCCCAGTGCCCCCATCTCTGCCACACGTACTCCACACGTGATGCTCACAGCCACTGCAGGAGGTGTTGGTACAGTGGACACAAAAAGTCAGAAACGTCCGTAACGAGACAGTGGAAGGCATCAGTGCACAGCGGTATGATGAGAAGGAACATAAAAAGCACAAAGAAAAAGAAAAGCTGCAAGGCTCCTGGTTATTCCAGCAACGGTCATGCTGCAGCATTCCTCATTCCAGGTTATGAGATGGAAAGAAAACAATCAGGGACCCCCATTCTTCCCGGGCTTACAATGGAGGAAGCTGCAAATTGCTCTGTTGGAACGGTGTAAACCCACTGGTGGAAGAATCGGGGCCCAGGATTCGGTAGTGATAAAGGATGTGCAAAGATTGGTTAGAAAACAGCTCTGAGATGCACTGCGCCTGCGCTCCTTGGGGACCTCAGGGACCACCTGGTTCCAGCCCACCTCCATAGGGGAAGCAAACAGTGGAAGTGCACCCAGGGGTTCCTCCTGGGCGAGGGGGTCTGCTCTGCCCCCATCTCAGCACAGGATGGATGCCAACTAGAGATGAGGAATCTGCTGTGCTGAGAACAGCACTCCCAGCATCGCCCCACGCCTCGCACCGCTAAGGACAGATGGACACACCGCCAAAATCCCCTCCTGCCAAACAGCACAGCTTCCCCCTGCCATCCGCATGTCATGGGAAAAACAAACAGAACGCAACGAAACAAAACAAAGACTTTGGAGATGCCCAGAAGCACAGACCAAGAGAAATGCCACAGGTGCTGGGCTCACCGGCTGAGTTCAGGGACTGTAAGGAAGAATGCAAGCTCAGCTGGTGGGCCGAAGATCTTAGCTCAAAGTAGGATCTCCCCGGGAAGCTGGGTTGTAGATTAAGGGTGGAGGAGAAAGGACTCATTCTACGAAGCTGCAATCTTTCCAAAGGCACTGGAAAAGGGAGGGTCTGTTCTTCTGACTGCGTTTCTAAACGTGAGATCAATGCAAAGCGGAGATCAGACATCAGCTCTGCAGGGCCACGCGCTGCCCACACCCGGACCTCGGCTGCAGTGAGTGCATGTGGGCATGGAGAGTGGGGCAGGGCACCGTGCACAGCATCGCCTGGCACAGGAGTGAGATGCATCACAAGGTTTGTAATGCTGCAGAGGCGTTTCGCAGGGCTGGGCTGAGCTCTGTTGCCCTAAGGGCCATCCAGCACCCACCTGACTGAAAGGCTGTTGGGATGGTGTGACCTCGGTATCTCTTTGCACCTGTCGAAACACATCGGAGCCTCACAGTGAGAATTTAACTCGTGTGGTTCACAGCAAAACGTCAGGTTGGGGGGAACCTCTACGTCACTGCATCCCGTTCCCCGCTTGTCACCTCCTGCCATCTCCTCCCTGCCACCCTGGCAAGGGCTGCTCTATTGCGAAGACACAGAATCCACCATCCTCCACACACTGCAATCCCAGGCACTGTCACCTCAGCCTTCCCACCTCGCTGTGAGTCCAAGGAGATAAAAGGAAGCATTTCTTTGCATGGTGGGAGCCAATTTCTGGGACCTGCTGCTGCGTGAGGCTATGGAAGCAAAGGGCATCAGTGGGTTCAGCAACGGGTTGGACAATGCACTGCAAAATGTGGTTTTTTGCAGCTTATGTTGAGGTTGGGATGCACCCTCTGATGTTTACCAAGAGTAAGAGGCATGGGCCACTGTGGGCAGGCAGGCTCACGGCTCTCCTAATAGCACCTGATGTTCCTGCAGCTCTTTGTAGTGCCTTTCCCTTGTGCTGTTCAGCCCTTTCCAGACGATGCTGGTACAAAACTTGCTGCTGGAGGTCACTCTGTGGCTGGGATAGATGCTATGTCAGGTAGGGAAGGCGTTGTGCTGTGCCCCAGCTGAGGGATTGCTGCCATCTTTGGAGTCTAGGGAGGAGGTTTTGGTTCCTTCTGTGGAGAAGCCTGCACGGAGCACCCTGCAGGGCATTCTGCTCCCCCACAGCTCATCTCACTGCATGCAGAGGGCAGAAGCTACCTTCTGTAGGTTTTGCATTCAGCTATCACAGCATAGTTGGGTTGGAGGGGACCTTAAAGACCATCTGCCATGGGCTGGGTGCCCCCAGCTCAGGCTGCCCAGGGCCCATCCATGGCCTCGGGCACCTCCAGGGATGGGGCACCCACAGCTCTGAGACCTCCGAGGAGAGAATTTCCTCTCTCTTAGTTTAAAGCCACTCCCCCTTTGTCCTATTGCTATCAGACAATGCAAGCAGTCAGACACTGCCTGCCAGGACCTGAAGCTTGCTTTTCTCTAACAGCACCTAAGCAGAACGTCTGATAAGGACTTACAACGGGACAGCTGTGCTCTGAGAAATGCCCTCCTCATACAGAGCATGCCTCTTCTTTAGCCCCTCCTTGCTCTCCCACAGGAGCACTTTGCAGGGAAAAGCCAAACCTGAAAGCTATTTCAGTGCAAACAGCACTTAGAAACTGGGTGCTGCTGTACAGACATAAAAGCCCAGATGGATGGTAATGACGTGCAAGGCAGCCCAGTCACCGCATCACTCAGGGCTCTGGGAGCTGCACACAGCTGCAATTTATGGCACTTTGAGTCCAAAAAGCTCTGACTGCCTCTGAAAGCAGCAAGCACTCTGGGTCCATTTACTTTTTCTGCCTCTTTCTTTTGTGCAGGAACGCCGAAGGCCATCCAACACAAAGCCAGCCTTCATGTGAGGCACCGATGAGCGATGTGTGTGTGTGCTCCCTGAGCTGGGCACCAGCCCCAAGCACCACCCAGCCTGCTGGGACCACCAACAGCCATTTTCTCTTCCAGCTTCCTCTGTATTCTAGAGCTCCTGGGATTGCCTACAGGCCAACTGCGGGATGCTGTGTCTCAAATGCAGCCTAAAAGAGGCACAAACCTGATGGGAAGCCAAAGCCCTGCTGCCTCCTGCAAAACCCAGGCAGCGATGCAAGTGGTATCTGTTGACTTCAGGAGTCACCCCAGTGTGGGCTGCTCTGTGTTGTCCCATCCTCAGCTCTCCACAGCAATGCCACGGCTTCCTTGCTGCTGCTGTCCAGTTTTGCAGATGCACATGCAGCTCTCAGACGGATTTGGGATTTGCTCTGGGATCCTCTTGGATGAGAGGGGCTCGTCACAGGTTTGCTCTCTGCTCCACCTCACTGTCAGACATTGTTTCATTCCTGGCCCATGCTCCACAGAAGCAGCAGTTTTCTGCTAGGGATGAGTGCAAGCAAGCACATGGGAATGCTCTGCATAGCCTTGCTCTGCTCCTACTTTTGCAGCAGAAAACCCTTTTTCCTGCCTGCTCAAATCCACCACTGTGCTCTGCAGCAAGAAGGGGTTCGCCCCCATCCCCAGCCCTGAGCTGTGTGCTTCCTTCTGTCCCCAGCTGCAGCTGGGTGTGCTGGTGGGACTGAGCCCCTCCTGCCCAGCTGCAGCACTGCTGCCTGCCCCCCACACCCCTAGCCCTGTGACCTGCATGTTAGAAGCAAGCCTATTTTCCATGACGGATTAAGCACCTGCTGTGACAAATGCACTTAAAGTCAAGCGAGGAGCCTCCCCTGCAACCTGCAAGAGAGTGTTTGATACTCAGAACGGCTCTGCAGACGATGCTGGTGCTGTCTGTAGGGTCTGAAAGGTCATTCGTGTGGCTGCACAGTCCCTGCCCTACCAGGGGCTTAAGGGCATGCTGTGGGGTGATGTCACTCTGCAGCCCTGCACAGCCCTTAGTGTCTCAGGAGCGATGCTTAGTGTCTTGTTTTAAACAAAGCCATGAGTTTCCCTTGCGTGTAACACAACCCCAAACCTCACAACACCTCCCTTTGGGACGCTTTCCACGACTCCTCTCCAGATAACACCTTCTGCAAAGGAAAGGGGATGAGAGCATCGCGGGCACCGCTCGAGGCTCCTGACACAGCCCTTCCTCCTCCCCTCAGTGCTGTCTCCTCGCCATGGCTGCTCAGACACCAGAGACCCAGCGAGCGTGGAATTCCCAGTATGGCAGAGCTAAGCCTGTGGTGGTGATGTGCCCCACGTGTGTGTATGAGCAGCAGCCGGGCGCACAGGGCTGGGGCTGTGGCCGTGCCTTACCCTCGGATGTCTGCAGCACCAGGGTCTTGCTGTAGGGGCTGACTCCTGTTTTGTTGAAGGCTTTGACACGGGCGCTGTAAGTGCTGTTGAAGTGAAGCCCGTCCACTGTGCACATGGTTTCCTTGCCCACATACACCTCCTGCAGAGCAAGCACAGGTGGGGATTAGTTAGCAGGGGTGGCAGTGCCCGGAGCATCCAACCCCAGGGGTGGGAGCAGCCCACCTGCTCCTGTTACTCCATGCTGCATGGGGCAGGTTTGTGGGCATGCATATTGCTAAAGCCGAGCAGAATGACTCTGTGCTTTGTTCCTTATGACAATAATGTACAATTTCTACAGGGAAAAGACACACAATTCACGTTGGACCAACTTGTAAAGCACCAGTCCCAGCTAGGCTCCCACTGAATCCCAGACGAAACCTGCCAGAGAGATGAATTAACAGAGAGCCTAGGATACAGAAAAAGCCTTGCAGAAAACAATTTTGCATGCTCCTGGATGGCAGGATCAAAGCGTTCCTTGAAAGAAAACAAAGTGATTTCGCCCAAGTGGTGCTGACTCACCAACGTGTCATGCTTCTGCTCCTGTTCAAAGCAACAGGGCTGTGTAAGCAGACAGCAAACACGTCTACAGGCTACTGAAACACCTGGCTCACAAAGCACTGACTTGTAATTAGCAGATCCTACAACCGAGCTCCATTTTTTCATGGTGTGGATGGAGGCTCTGCTTGGGGAGCACACCTGCATGGGGAAGCTCTGCTGCCCTGCTCTGACAGAATCACAGAATCACAGAATTGCCAGGGTTGGAAGGGACCTCAAGGATCATGAATCTCCAACCCCCCTGCCACACGCAGGGCCACCAACCTTCCCACCTAATGCTAGACCAGACTGCCCAGGGCCCCATTCAATCTGGCCTTGAACACCTCCAGGGACGGGGCATCCACAACCTCTCTGGGCAGCTGTTCCAGTACCTCACCACTCTCACAGTAAAGAATTTCCCCCTGACGTCCAACCTAAATCTCCCTTCCCTCAGCTTAAAACCATTTCCCCTTGTCCTGCTGTCACTCACCCTTTCAAAGAGTTGACTCCCCTCCTGTTTGTAGGCTCCCTTTAGGTACTGAAAGGCTGCAATGAGGTCACCCCGCAGCCTTCTTTTCTCTAGGCTGAACAAGCCCAGCTCCCTCAGCCTGTCCTCATAGGGGAGGTGCTCCAGTCCCCTGATCATCTTTGTGGCTCCTCTGGACCCTCTCCAACAGCTCCCTGTCTTTCTTGTACTGGGGGCTCCCAGACCTTCCTGTGATGCTGTCTGAAGAGGCAGTACTTGAAGCTGATCCCTGCCTTCCCAGGTGTGTGCCTGTCCCCAGGACTCATAGGACAGCCTGTAGGCTCTCTTTCATAGAATCATAGAATCACAGAATGGCCTGGGTTGCAAAGGCCCACCCTGCTCACCCAGTCCCAACCCCCTGCTATGTGCAGGTCGCCAACCAGCAGCCCAGGCTGCCCAGAGCCACATCCAGCCTGGCCTTGAATGCCTGCAGGGATGGGGCATCCACAGCCTCCTTGGGCAACCTGTTCCAGTGCCTCACCACCCTCTGGCTGATGGTTCCTGCCCTGACTCTGCTCTGGCTCCTGCCCAGCTGAGTTTCTCAGGGATGTGCTGAGAAATCACGACGGGCAGTCGCTGCGCCCACTCGCAGTGGATGGGGGCACACCTGGGTAATTATCAGCGTGTCAGATCTGAGCAAAATCGTATTTTAATTGTGTAATTACAGCAATTTAAAAGCCTTCAGGCCTTGAACACCTCTGCTTGCTGGCAAGCTGGGAGACTTTCACGGCAATTAGCATACCTTGCAGGAAATATTTAGCAACCTAAAAAAAAAATTGGCTTCAAATTGGCTTTCACATTTGCAAGTCATATTGGTCACTGGAAAGGTATTTCTACCCCTTCAAGTAACCTCAGCTCCCAAAAAGCCCCCATGGCTTGTCTGCGCCATTGGTTTCCTTGAGCAAGTCTCACGTTTGCAGGGCAAGAGTGTGCTTGCAAGGACCTGGGGAGCTTGCTGGCTGCTTTATGGCTGTGCTGTGCCACAGGGTTGGCTCTGTGCCCCCAGCACTTACCCTGAACTGCCCTCCATTGCCATCGTCGAGCTCCAGGATGTATCCTTCCACCTGCACCGTTGACAATGGGGGCTGCTTCCAGGACAGCGTGGCACTGTTGTTGTGGGTGCAGCACTCCTCCAGCTGCAGGATTGGGGGGGCCGGCACTGGGGAGGAAACTAAACACAAATTAGGGTGACCTTGGCTGCTAGCACCACTGGGGAGGAGTGGGGCAGAGCTGCACGTGTGCAGCTGGAGGATGGAGGATGCACCCACTGCCCCAGGTCCAAGGCAGCTCTGCAAAGTGATGCCAGAGCCATAGATACCAACAACTGCCCGGCTTTGCAGAATAGGTTGGATTTCTCCTTATTTGGGAGGATATGGCACGAATTGAAGGACTCTGCAAAGAAGAGATGACATTGCCCAGTGATGCTATTTCAGGGAATGATGGCCCTCGATCTGCCAAAAAAGGCTCAGGGTCCTCCCATGGTGTCCCATGCACAGCCCTCCCAAATCTGAACCGCTCATACTCCGTGCTCTTCCCTCAAAACTGATTGGGGCCAGTGAGAGAGAAGAGGTGGGGAACCCAGACAAGATGTGCAGAAGCCACAGATGTTTGGGAGAGAAAAGATGGACTCAACAGCGAAGGTTCCCCATTCACCACATCCTGCTATGACTCCTCTATGCCTTGGCTTGGACCTGCAGCAGAGTGCAGCGATGCCTCCTGGTGCAGCCATGGCAGCAGCAGCCATGCTGCTAGTGCCAGCAGTGAGTGAGGGATGCCCCTTAAGAAAAACAGCTTCTACTCATGCTTAAAAGCAGAATTTCATCCATCTCACTCTGTGGAGCTGAGCCAAAGATCTCCTGTGGTGTCTGACTCACAGTGATCCCAACACCTGGGGACTAAAGCAGTGCTGCCACTGCTGCCAGGGCCACCCAGATGGAAAACGGGAGCTGACTGTCTTAACTGAGTATTAAAGGCCCTCTCCTGGAAGGTCTCATCACACTGCACACATGTGCACCTGCACGGTGCAAAGCTGGCCCCAGTCCTGCCCTGTCCGTGGGTGCTGCAGTGGGACACAGCTGTCACAGGACTGTCCTCTGCTCCCAAAAAGAGCCCAAAAACTCACACAGGGGAGTGAGGGGAAGGCCATTATCTGCATTTTACCACTGAGAAACAGAAGCAAGTTTGACCCAGAGGCCTGGTGAAGCCAGGCTGAACCCCGACCTTCCAAACTCTGTTTGTTGGTAGGGATGGGAACGTCTTCTCTGCTGCCCCTCACCTGTGATGAGTCGCATAGAAGCACCCAGCAGAGGAATAACCTTACCTTTCATCTGCACGAAGTCGAGCTGATGGATGGACTGCAGCAGGGGGCCGTTGTCAAGGTTCAGGTCAAAGTCCGTGGTCATGCGGGGTGTGAGCGTCCCTTTTCCCCACTGGTCCTCAGTTAAGTGCACTCTTCTGATGAGAGCATCGGAGATCTGGTGGCAGGGAGCAGCCTCAGCTAATGAGGGCAACCCGAGCTGCATGCTAAGCCTCATCCCCCCCCCACTGTCCCCCTTCCCTGTGCCTTCCAGGCTGCCACCTCTGGCCCCGATTGCCGGAGTTTTGGTGGTCATCCCTGCCCAGGTGCATGACCCTATGACTGCCCTCATTGGATTCCTCTCCACCCAGCTCTGGGAGAGCTCTGGGGACACCTCATTGTGGCCTTCCAGTGCTTGAAGGGAGTGGATAAACAGGAGGGGGAATGGCTGTTTGTGAGGGTGGATGGTGACAGGACAAGGGGGAATGGTTTTAAAGTGAGACAGGGGAGGTTTAGGTTGGATATGAGGAGGAAGTTTTTCAGCCAGAGGTGGTGAGGCACTGGAACAGGTTGCCCAAGGAGGCTGTGGATGCCCCATCCCTGCAGGCATTCAAGGCCAGGCTGGATGTGGCTCTGGGCAGCCTGGGCTGCTGGTTGGCGACCTGCACATAGCAGGGGGTTGAGACTGGATGAGCACTGTGGGCCTTTGCAACCCAGGCCATTCTAGGATTCTCTGATGAGGGGCTGGCCCTTGCTTTTAGGGCTGGCAAAGCTGGAGAAACACCACCCTCATTGCATCTCCTCTGACTGTGCTGCACCCCAGGGCTCTGGCTGTGCAACGCCTTCCCACTGCTCCTGGGAGCTGAGCACTGACCTGCAGGAAGCCGCTGGGGTCGTTCTCCTTGATGACCTCCAGGCAGTACTCCATCAGCCCCGTGGTCTGCCGCAGCTTCACCGTGCAGTGAGAAATCTGGTCTCTCACCACCTGCAATGACACGAGGAGAGCAGCGTTGGCACATGGATGTGATCAGTATGAAGGGAGGCAAAGCATCCGGGGAGCAGACAGGACAGCTCATGGGCTCCATCGCTCCATCTGCCCTCCCATCCTCAGTGCAAGTGTGTTGGAGCCAGGAGCAATACCTGACAGTGTGGTATCTCCAGGAGGAATGAACACATCACAGCCCCATCCTCAGCACAGTGATAGCAATAAAATAAGCCGTGCTGAGTGCTTCCTCTGTGAGCTGTGCAAAGGGATGGAGGTGAACCTGGGCATGTGCCAGCCTCCTGCAGCCAGCAAACCCGGGGCTGCAGAGGGGGGGCAACAAACAGCTCCTGCAGGGCAATCAATCAGATCACATGCTTAATTATAATTTAATCACCTCTGCTTAATCACCTAGCAGGAAGAAAAGAATCAGCGGCTCTGCAGCTTGGAGCAATGTATCCGTTTCTGTGAGGCAGTGGGAAATGCTGGCTCTCAGTTTGGGGGGGATTTGCTGTTTGCTGGGGCTGCATCAGCATAGTTATCAGCACCATCAGCAGCACACACCGTGTGCCGAGCTGCAGAGACAGCAGGGGGAGCTCCCACCTCGTCCTCCGTCCCAAAAAGCTGAGGGTGTCAGAGGATTTTCCTGGCCAACAGGGTTGGACGCTGTGTTTCCCAGCTGCAAGATCTGCTGTGTATCCCCAACACATCCCCGGCACAGATAACCAATCCAAAGATGGGATTGGGAAAACAATCTTCTTATCTTCTTTGCAGCTTAAATCTCCATCGGGTTGGGCCAGCATAATGAATTTGCAGCCCTCTCCTTGCCCCAAAGGATGCTCTCGAAGTATTACCAGCAGAATGGCCATCTGTCAGCAGCAGCCCTACGTGTGCTGCCAACAAGCAGCGTTCACCCAGCGAGGACCGAGGCTGAGGAGCGATGCTCCCTGGCTGCACAGTCAGCCCCAGCAGGCTCCTCCCATCCAAGCAAGGCTGATTCCTGATGTCTGGTCCCTAACAGAGGTCTGGTCCCAACCAGGAGCAGCAGGGCGGTCTGTGCTTGCAGGGAACGAGCCAAACACCCGCTGCCCCCATCCCAGCAAAGCTCACAGTGCTGCTGAGTGGAGGCAGGACGCTTAGGGACAGGCTGAGAGGTCACCATCAGGCTCACAACCCACAGCCCAGGTTCCTTGCCATAGGGCACAATCAGTTCTGGCTGCACTGTGCATTGAATCCCAGCAGCTTCAGAGCATCCATCCCACCAGGGCTGCCCCTCAGCAGCATTCCTGCCCTTCTGGAGCTCTGTGATCCTGCTCAGGGATCGAGAACCTATTCAGCAGGAGAACTAGAGCATGAAACAGCAGATTAATTGCAGTGGTTCTCCTCTGCTGCTGTCCCACGGCATTCCCACTTGGTGGGGTATCTCAGCTCCTCATAACGCCAAAATAATGAGGGTTTATGTTAAGAGCCAAAAGGAAAAACTGGAAGCTCCTCTGACTTGCAGAAGGGAACAAGGCAAGCAGCCATGCAGCTTTAGGAGGACTCTGAAGGCTTGCAGTGCTCACCAGACAGCCAGCAGCACCAGCTGCCTTGGGGTTAGCAGGGAATAGATGGTTTGCAAAGCTCTGCTGAAAGCATTGAATGGTAGCATCTTCTGGGAAAAGGCCTGTGGGACACAGAGCACCAGCTCAGCTGGCCAGGAGGTTGGGGCAGCTCCACACATTTCCTTTCTGGTTGCTTTTGTCACTTATTTTCCCACTTCATGTCAATGGAGGCAACAGCCAGAACCTGGTTACTAATTGCAGCCTGCAGAAAGGACGTTTGCTGCGTGCTCACAGCAGCTCCTCACTACCTTAAAATAGGAAATTTATTTCCAGAGCTTTTCTTTCCTGACATTAACTATAATTTACATTTTAATATAGCTCCTAGAAGGCATCTGCACTCATCTCTACCTGTCTTCCTCGTCTTCCCTCCTCTTTTTAGCCCTTGGCTGGATTTCTGCTTTTCAAGGCATACAGCCTCATGTGAACCTTGGCTGGATGAGCCCTGCTGGGGGCTGCCATCCCATACGAAGGGTCACAGAGCAGCACTTCATCTCTGGAGATGCCAACATGTCCAGTGATAAGGGATGAAGCTCCAGGAGGTATCTCGTTTCTACCTGGGACAAGCCTGTAGGAATGCATGTCCCATACTGAGTGTTTGTGCCATAAGGCATCTTCCTTTGGGAACACAACATCCCTTTGGAAACCAAAGCCATCCATGAGAAGCAGAACACACAAAGTCCGTCCTGGGTGTGGAGTTTAAAACCTGGCCCCACTGCTCCTCCAGATGCCATTTTTTAAAGCCTGGCTCTTACTATGAATCTAAGTTTAGGGGAGGCTTGGGAAAAGCAGAGAGATGTCCCTTCCAAGTTCATTCCTTGGCACAATCAGTGTCGGCCCATGGGCAGCCCTGGCCTGGTGCCTGTCTCCATGAAATGTGTGTCAAGCTAAAGTAGGTCAGTCCTGAAGCTGAGCTGACCCCAACTGTGGGCATTCCATGGGACCAGGAGTACAGCAGAACGTACAGCAAGCCATGGGCTGAGCACACAGCATGGGGGCACTTGGGGGCAGCCCCTCCATGCACCACCAGGCACCCTGCATGTTATCCTTTCTAACACCCTGCAGGGATGTCTGTTCCCTTTGTGATGCTTTCAGCCCCACAGAGCCTCCAAGCAAAAGCTGCAGGCTTTGTCATCGTCCCCTGCAGGCAGTGCCAGCCTTTGCAGCCCTGGTGACACAGGGGAGGTGCAGCTGCTCCAGGCACAATGCTTGCCCAGCTGGGAGCTGCAGGTGCTGTCTTTGTCTGGGGGCTCCTTGGAGGGGCAAAGGGAAAGCTGCTCCAGGCAGTGATGATCCAGGCAGCCTCCATCCCTGGGTCACAGAGTATGGTGGGGACAGGGCTGTGGGCTGTGATGTGCGAGGGGACCCTGTTTGAGCAGGGAGAAAAGCAGGGAGGTGCCCAGCAGGCCTACACTTCCATGTATGAACGCTGGCAGCACCCTCTCTGTCCCTGCCCCAGGACATGCATTGAACTGGGCTGTATGTCTCAGCCATGGGGGTAACATCTCACAATGCAGGACTCAGCTGCCCTCATAATTCATAGGAATTAAAAGGGAAAATCAATAATTTCAGGCTAAAACTCTGACCAGCGCTGCACAGGCTGCAAAGCAGAAGGGAGCAGCTTCTGGGTTTTAAATAGCAGCCACCGTGTTGCTGCTGACTCCATGGAGCCCTTCCTGCCACACAGCATCCCTTCCCACACAGCTCAGGAGGCTGCTAAACTCAGTGCTTCAGGCAGGGAGATTTGAGGGCTGATTTAAGAGCCCAGCCTGAAACCCAGGGGCTGGAAGTGCACTCACAGGGTGGCTGCTTCTGCCTAATGACAAAGGCCAGTCGGTAACAAGCGTGGATGGGGCAGGATGAATGTGCTGGGGACAGGCAATATGGGATGAGCAAGCCGTGGGAAGCAGATTCCTTCCCCTGGCCAAAATACGAAAGGCTTCTGTGGTTTGTGCTGAGCCAAGAAAATGTTTTATGCTTTAATTAACCATGCCCTGAAGAGCAAGAGTGAAAGAGAGCCTGCAGGAGCAGGGGTCCTCTCTGTATCTACAGGGCAGCAACATGGCATTGCCTATTTGTCATTAGATAGCAAGCCCTGATGCAGCGTTCAGCCCCACAAAGCTGCTATTGTCCAACTGCCTGGCTTGGATGCATGAGGACCCATGAGTTTTAACTGTGGATCAGAGCCTAATGCCCAACCTGCTGGGGGCTTTGGAGGGAGGCTGGGGAGAAGCAGCAGCAAGGAGAGAGTGTAGGACAGTGAACATGATGGAAATGCTTGAGAGGGAGAGCCTAAAGGAGGTGTGTGCAGAGCTCAGCCTGTTTTCAGCTGACCTCGATGCTCACATTGAGATCTGCAGCTCAGCTCCCTCTGTGCCAATGTTTCACTGCTGGGTGAAACAATCACCCTGAGGTGCTCATCGAGCAGAACAGAACACAGAGTGATTCCTGCTCCTGTCTGAAGACAAAAGTGGCATCTCGCAGCCCCAGGTGCCCCAGCTCTGCAGCTCCTGCTGAAACCAGCAGAACTGACAGCACTGCAGGATCAGACCAGGAGCTCAGAAGCAACGTGGGACACAACAAGGTCACCTAACAGCCTCTGGATGCTGTACTGAGGGCTCTAACGACCCAATCACTTCTAATTGGTGCAGCAACAGAGTAATGCAGTGGGAACTACTTGGAGGCAGCAGCACTCTGCTCAGGACCAAGCTGAGCACGTGAGAAGCAGCTCTGCAGCAAGCCCAACAAACAGCAGCACATCCTCACCCCGCTCTGGTGGCAGCCCTGCAGGAAGCCCTCTGAGCCCGAGGCTCACCTTCAGCTTATGCTCGTGCTCCTTGTTGACACGGGACAGCAGCTGGGCTTTCCTTCTGTTGAGGGCATCGATGAGGGCATCACACTGGGCCACCAGGCAGGCCTCGAACTCCACGCTGTTCTCCTGTGGGTCAGAGCAGAGCATCACAGCATGACTTTCCTTCTGGGGTCTACCAGGGTTATCTTGATGTGCACAGCCACAGCAGCACACAAATCCATGCTGTTAGCATATGTACAGCCCTGGCTCGTGGCAAAGAGAGCAGCAGTGAGCATCCTTGGATTTGCCTGTGGCAGAGTGAGGTCTGCTCACTGCATCACACAGACAGCTTCGGGAGGAGCAGTTCTGGGAAAGGATCATATGAAAAGAGGCAGGTGCTGAATGGGGGCCCCTTTGGAGAGGATCCCCCCAAAGCAAGCTGGGGAGATGGGGTGGAAGATCCCAGAGAGCAGCTCATCCCCCCAGGAAGGGCTGAGCACCGTACCTGGATTTGCTGCACCATGTTGCGGAGCTGCACCAGGAACTCTTTCGCCTCCTTGGCTCTGTCTGACAACCCATTCAAGGCCTGGGACAGCTGGCTCTGCAGGGGGAAGAAGAAGTAGCATCATTTCCACGTCCCAAACTCATTCGTGTGCTGCAGGAGCTGATGTGAGTGTGGTGGGGATGGACTGGGGTCCCTGCACTGCCTTCCTGGGGCAGGACATGTCCTGTTGCCCTGGGAGAAGGAAGGGAAAAGGTGGGGCAGCCATCATCAACACCCTCAGATTTAGGAAGATGCCTAACAGGGAAGTGCTTCCACTGTGCTTTTAATCCCACTGCATCCCTGCTGCTCATGGCAAGAGTCACCCAGCTGGGGACACGGAGCAGTTAGCCCATTAAACAATGTTAATTAATGCCAGATGACAACGGAGCGCGTGTGGGAATGTGCACGGGGACTTGCAGGCATGCCTGAATGTATTCATTAAGGGCAGCACTGTGGGCACAGTGACAATGTGATTCATAGCTGTGGGGGACAGAAAAACCAAGCCCTTCTGCTTCTGTGTTATTCTAAGTCGGGGAGAAATTAAATGTCTGAGTGGGGGCTGTCAATCCTACAGGTGCCTTCCTGAAAGGCCACTGTCCTTGGAGCAAAGCCAAGCTCCAGAGACGGGTTGGATCACCAGGCACACGAGGCAGTCGCAGGCTGGCCCTAAGAAAAGAAGGCAGCAGCTTGCATGGGTGTGAACAGGGGGCAGGATGAGGATGGAGTGATGAAGGCTTGCAGCAAGGTGTGGGGGGAATGGGCAGGTGGTGTTTGTGCATCTCTGCATGGAAATAGACAGGGAAAAGCTCCAGGGATTCCTGGGGTTTCTCAGGGCTGGGAAGTCTGCTCTGGGACTGCTGTGCCCCAGAAGAACAAGGGGAGGTGATGGAGACTCAGTGTGCTCCAGTGTGCACTGTGACATTCATACAATCAGGCTGGAAAAGACCTCCGAGATCCCCAAGCCCAACTCCAGCCCAGCCCACCCTGCCCACATCCCTCAGTGCCACATCCCACAGCTCTGGGACACCTCCAGGGATGGTGACCCCACCACTGCTGGGCAGCTGTGCCACTGCAGCACTGCTCTTCTGTGAAGAATTTTCTCCCTATATCCAACCCTGGCTGTCCCCTGTGACCAGAGCAGCATCCCACCCCGACCAGCATCAGTGGGGGAATGAATGAGTGCCAAACGAAGAAACATCCTATTCAGCACGGGCTTAAAAACAAGTGAATTTGTTCCTCCCAGATAGCTGGCCTGCTTTCCTGATGCTCTCATTTCAAAGCAGGAGGAGACCTCCGTAATTCACATTAGCATTAATGGGAGTTAAGCATTTAAATCTCTGTCCCTGGAGCACTTAGGAGAGAATCCATCCCTTTTCTGTGCTCACTAATAGCCGTCCTTCCCAGGCTGGGCTGACAAAGGGATTTCTGTCGGGCTTTGACTCTCTCCTGTCTGAGCTCAGTGATGAGCGTGCAGGATCTGTGCGTGGTGAAGCCATGCTGGCTGTCTTGGATCACCTTCCCATCTCCCACAGCCTTAACGCAGCCTCCAGTGGCACGTCCTCTGCTGTCACACATCACGTGTGTCTGAATACGGGCAGTCGGGGCACTCGCAGAGGGCTGAGAGAGGTAGAAGAGCAGCACAGTGAGCCAAGGCAAGAAGGGATCTGCTCCCAGTGTTCTGCTCATACCCCTGAAAGGATGAGGAGCTGCCACAGATGCTGGAGCTGAAGTCATGTGCTTCATTCTTTTAATTAAAGCACAGGACCTACAGCCTTTGAATCCTGCGGCAAGCTTACTGTACGTGATGCCTGACTAATTAAAACGGGATGTTTAATTAAAACTTGCATTCGCTCAGGAAGTTGATGAAGCTAAACAGCTGCTCATTGGCTTTCTGCTCCAGCCACGGCAGCCTGACCCCGGTGAGGAAGCAGGGCCAGGGGTGCAGCCCCCACTGCTGTGTGTTTGACCCAGCACACAGAGCTGGCTTTGTGAGCAAAGCTCCTGGGTGCAAAATGCAGGCAAGAAGCAACGCCCCGTCTCCTTCTTTGCAGTTATGGGGGCATGTGGGAGGAGGATGAGATGTGAATGTTAATGCTCAGCAGCCCCATGGCAAGCCCCAAAGCCAGGCTGCTGCCTGCCAGCTGCTAAGGTTTGGATAAAGCCAATTATTTGTTGATAAAAGAACAGCAAAGCAGCTCCGGGTGCTGCAGCGCAGAGCAGAAATCAATTCTGGCATACTGGACGTTGATGCCTTATCAGCTCTTCGGGGTGTTTCTTATCCCCCTGCCAGCCCATACCTGCTCCATTTGGCCCACCTACACTCAGCTGACTGCAAGCAGCAGCCAGGAGCCAAAGCTCCGAGCATCACTGTGCTGTCCCTGTGTGCACAGATGGCCCCAGCCGCTGGCTTTGTTCAGGCAGACACTGGGGCAGTGTATTTCCTCAGCAGGCAGAAGGGATTCAAAAGCTCCAGCCTGGAAATAAGACAGGGAATATATTCTTTGCAAGCACAATGTCCTCGCTGAAGCCCTTTCATTGCCTCCTGTATGGCTCCAGGGTGCCCTGCTCTGGGGAGCAGACACACTGCTCTGCCTCCTCCAGCCTCACCGTGAGGAACACCGAGTTTCTTGCATTTTCCACTCAGGCCCTGGTGATGCTGGCACTGCCTGGCAGCCCATCCATGCTAGCACAGTGACTCACCACAGCTGCTGCCCAAAGTCTGTCCATGGGAGGGACTGGGGTCTGTGTTCTGCTCAGCCCCGGGGCCAGGAGCCTCTCTGAAAGCAGGTTTCTCATGTTTTGAAAACCACCTGCTGCCTCTTGGTTGCCAGCCCCTGGAATTGCACGTCAGCCAGCACTGGGCACTCTGCTGGAAGTCAGACATTCCGGGTAAAAACAGCAATTATGCTCTTTGCATGGATTTTAATGCACGTAAATGCCGTGCCAAAACCAGTGATGAATAATCTGGGCCTGCAGGCCTGTGGCAGAACAGCACAGCACCCCTTTCCTGCTGGGAATCCTCACCTGAACCCTATGCTTCCCAAAGTGAACCAGAGGAGGAGGAGATCTGTGAGCAGCCCGAGTGATGTGGTGAAGGTGCTGTCCTTGCTTTGATACAGGATGCAGTCCTTGCTTTGATTTTTACACAGAAGAAATGAGCGCCGAGATATTATCAACAGCCCTTTGATATTGCCCAATTAATTCCTGTCTTGCTTCATTAACACTCAACAACAAATCACCTTCGCTTTTCATCAGCAAAACCTACTGCACATCCCTGAGAAATCCCAAGGAGAAGCGGGGTGAAAAGCTAAAAAAGGCCAAATATTGGGCACTGCAAAGCAGGCTGATGGTGAGGAAGTACGGGCAGCTCCATCTGGGTTTGCATGAGGCAGACAGGAGGAAGCAGGGATGCTCTGGCCAGATCCTGGTGCAAGCTGGTGCCTCCCAGAGCAGCAGCAACACACAGCTCCTGTAACGGGGAGCCAAGGCATGTCTTGTCATTGCCGTAATGATGGCTGATTCCAGCCACTCGTGGGCCAGCACTCTGATCTACAGCTGCTGTTGTGAGGCTGGTGGCATTTCCAAGCCCCCTGGAAGCACTGGGCTCACTTGTTGTGTCAGTGCTGCTATGCTTCCAGGGATGAATGAGGCTGGTGAGAGGCTGAGGACAACCTGCAACTCATCAACGACTTCTCCAGGCTCCCTCCCCTCCCCTGCAAGCACAGTGCAGCCACACCAGACCACTGCTTGTACACTGCCCTCCAAAGAAGCTGGAGAGGCACCACCTTGCACATCTCTTGCTGCATTCACACACAAAGGAAGGTCGGATGCCCTTTGCTGCATGGCAGAGGGCAGCCTGGCGGTGGGCTGTGATGCTCGTGCACTGCTCCTCCAGGGGATGTCAGCACACTTTTGTCATTCCCTCCTCACCTGCACAGGGACCCTCCTGCTGGGAGCAGCTTCTGCATGGCTTCTCTGCATTTGGCTGTAGCTGCTGCTAGCACAGGAGCAGGGAGATGGAATGAGCTGAGCTGGGAGCCGGAATCAAGAGAGGAGCTGGGCAGGGACCCAGCAGAGAGCTGAGCGTGCCCTAATTAGCCTGGGTGCAGCTCCACGCTGCTTGGTCACCCTGAGCCCTGCTGGAAGAGGCCTTCCCTGGACTGACATCAGTCTGTGCTGATGGGAAACTGCAGGACATCGATTTGCTGCTACCCCAGACAGGGAGGTGCGTGGGGCTGCTGCACAGTGCTGCCTTCCTTTGGAGCCCCACCAACACAACACCAGCTCTGAACGAGCACCTGGGAGGGAAGCTGAGGCTGAGGCAATGCATGGAATCAGGGCAGCACAGCTCACCTGCTGGAGGGCTCTGCAGGTCAGAAGGAAGCAGCTCATCAGGGAAGATCCTCCGCCTCTCAGGCAGCCACTGCAAGAGCCTTACTATTGTTTTAAAGAGTAATAAACTCATTGCACAGCCTTAATTAGAGAATGAGGCAGTTAATAAAACCAGACACTGCATTTCCTGAGAGGGCTGCTCAGCAGCTAATCTCTGCAGCAGATGATCCCTCCTCAGGTTGCTGCTCCTTGTGACATTTTCCCTTTGCTTTGAATGAGCCTCCAAGCCCCAGGTAGCCCTTCCCACAGTACAAGCCCAAGGGTGGGAATGAGGCTCCCACCTGGCCAGTGCCATCCTTCCTTTCCCCCTGGTGCCTCTATGCAGCAAGCAGCCCTATGGGCACCACCTCCAGCCCAGGCACAGCCCTAGGCAAACAAGGTGCATGCTGCAGCCCTTATGCTTTCCACCTTAAAATGATGCCCCGTTTGCCTTCAATCCAATTATCGCCTCCCTCAGCTGCCTCCATGGTTACTCGCACTTAAGCTCTGCCATCCCATTACTGCATTAAGTCTTTAAATCTGATTACTTTGGTTGGAGTTAAATTTAAACCTGATTAACCGCCCCGACGATGAATTTTACCTATCCTAACCCAAATGCAGGGGCATCTGAGAAAGCAGGCTGCGAGCCCCATGGGGTCATTCATCCCTCTGCACTGAGTGCTGAC